GGGGAGAAGCACAGAATATTAACAGAGCTGCCGTGGCCGCTCTCCGGGCACAGGGATGCTCGTAAGGACCCAGGAATCACCATGCTGGGATGCACCAGGTGGGAACAGCTCTCGGGAGGCTGGTTTCCCTGTGGATTTGGGAGCAAATCCAAGGCAGCAGGGGAAGGATTTCTGGGGAAGAGGGGTCTGGCCTGCTCTTTCTCTCCCCTAAAGCCCTTGGAACAGAGCTGCCGTGGCCGCTCTCCGGGCACAGGGATGCTCGTAAGGACCCAGGAATCACCATGCTGGGATGCACCAGGTGGGAACAGCTCTCGGGAGGCTGGTTTCCCTGTGGATTTGGGAGCAAATCCAAGGCAGCAGGGGAAGGATTTCTGGGGAAGAGGGGTCTGGCCTGCTCTTTCTCTCCCCTAAAGCCCTTGGCTGCAATGGGGAGGGGCTCAGCCCTAGCTCTGGCTCCACTGGAGAGACACCCAGGGCTCTCCTTGCCCCACTTGCAGCCGGTGCCCAGTGACCCACTACTTTCCCTCACCAGGTGCTGGGTTCTGCCCATCCTGATGCACTGAATAAGCAGGAAAAAAACCCCACGAGTGGGTTCAAAGCAAGAGCCAGAGTCCTTTTTCTGCTCCAAGCCCCATCCTCGGCACGCAGCCGGGTCTCCTGCGCTGCTCCCGCAGGGAGGACGCGGCCCCTTCTGCAAAGACGCCGCGAAAAATTGGACAAGCAGCTTCAATGGCAAGAAATGGGAGCAGGGCGGCGAGCCCAGAACCGCTGGCTAAATGCCTCCCATCAAGGAGGCCACCCTCAGGCTGCCAGCCTGCCCAGAGACCTCCCCGCACGCCGGGCTCGGACTGGCTCTGACAGCCTGGGGAAGCGGAAGCTGAGCAGGGAAGAGTCCCAGCAACCAGGAGGGCAGCCCGGCAGGGGCGTTCAGGAGCTGGTGGCAGGGCCAAGGTGCTCTCACCCCTACCGCAGACCTTGGGGTCAGAAAGGCTTTTACCTGCCAAGAGGATGGGCTGGATCCAGCCCAGAGTTACAGCCGCCCCGACCGGGTAGCATCACCAGGAATAACTGCCTGATGGCAGCAGGAGGGTGGGTGCTCTCCCATGGCCGTTTGTTGGGGCAGGACACCCCACTCACTCTAACTAGGGTCAGAGCTGTTATCTCACCGGCACAGCCCCTCTCTGCTTCCTCCTCCTACAGCCACATCCCCATTTCTTCCTCTGGACTGACCATTTTCCGCTTGGTACAGAGGAAGGCATGGCACTCCAGGTTCTCATTGAGCTGGTTCTGGGCAATGTAGGCAAACACTTTATCGTGGATCTTGTCTGCCGTGCAGTAGGATATCCTGAAAGACAGAATGAAACATCTTGTCTGGGGCACTGTGAGCAAGGGAGATCAACCAACCCCTCCTCTGTCCCGCCAGCAAGCACCTACCCCACGGCTTCCAGCTCCGGGGCCAAGCAGGGAGGGCAGAGGGAGCACGGGAGCGTTATCCAGCTTCAGTGCAAACTCCTTCCCAAAGCAGAGGAGTTGATGCCACTGGCTTGAGTGTAAGAGGAGCCTGGAGCAACTCCTGCAGCCACGGCATGAGCCACGTGCATCGCACACAGAGGCAAGAGAGAAGAGAAGGTGTTCCAGCTCATGGGAAAGGACAGGTTAGAGAAGGTAAAGAACCTGCAGCCAGCCTGCACTGCCAATGCTCTGCCCTCAGAAGAGGGACTCGGAAGGTTTTCTGTGGAAGATAAGCTTGCGAGGAGAGAGAAGGACTTGCTCTCAACCTACAATTGAATCTTGAGGCTCAAACCAGGGAAAGATGTTGATGCAGGGGTGCCCAGGAAAAGCTGTTGGGAAGGCTGAAATTCAGGATGCTCCAAGACCCCTAAGCACATGGGACATGGGGAAGGAAGCTCAGCCTCCTCCGTGGAACATATCCAGGATGGTTGTCTCTCTCCCAGACCCCGGGCAGGGCAGGGCTGACTCCAAAATGCCAAACAAGGCTCTGGAAGAGCAACAGGCTGACCTGTCTGGGGAAAGCAGGCTGTGACCGAGGGCTCAGCTCCCTTTTGCAGGGCAGTGAGTCCCTCAGCATCTGCCACCCCCATCTCCCAGGGGTCCATCCATGCCAGGAGCTGCAGGACAGAGCATCTTGCCTGAAGCCAGCGAGCGCAGGTCGGAGCAGCCCCAGAGGTTTAGTGCGAGGCGGCAGGCATGAGCAAAGCCTCTTCCCTGGGCAAGTGGCACATCAGACAGGTTAAAGAAAGCCTGAGAAAGAAGGGGGACATTTGAGTGAAAGTTTTGCATGGCCTCACAATGCCCCTTCAGCTCTCAGGAGTTTGCAGGGAGGAGATGGGAAGGTCCCAGTTCCCAGCAGATGCCGGGACTTAAAAAAACCCACATTCAAAATTTATTTACACTGCATTAGTTTCTTGTAGTGTGTAGATGCCTCTGCTCAATGGCCTACATTCTGTTTGCCAAAGCTGAGCCGTGCTCTGGATTAAAGAGGCACTTGGAAGTTCACTCCTTCCTCCCGTTTGTCCCAAACCAGCGTGGCCACTCGTTTAATAATCGTGACGAAGCTGTGGAAGGTGCCTGCACAGGCACGTGGCCCTTCCAGCAACCCCCAGTACTCGGCTCGCTGTTCCACGGCCGTTAATTTCCAGGGAAGGGATAACTCTCTGAAGTGAGCCAGCGTTACCACCGAGGCCTCTGCAGCAGCACGTCCGGTGACGGCGGCTGCGTTTCAGCCATGGCCACCCCGTCCTGCCCCAGCACACGATCCAGGGTAAGAGCTCAGAGCCGGCATCATCCCAGGGAGTAGAAAAGCCGAAGGCAGTAGAAGTGTTAGGGAAAAAGAGGACTGCCGTTGGTAGAGCACGCTCGCAGAGCGGGGAGATGAGGCCCTCCTACACACAGCTCCCATTTTTCACTGTGATTCCCTCTCCCACAGCACCAGCATCCCAGCAGCAGCATTCCCCACGACAACAGCCTATGTAGGATGTGCTGACTTCAGTCAACCGAATCGAGGGGATGCTTGTGCACAAGCACTGACCGGGAGGAACAGCTTTATTGCCGGCTGTTAAAGTGTCCAAGTGGAATTTAAGGCAGCATCTAAAAACCCCGGCCCCACGGCTCTGCCTGCTTTTACACCAGCACAGTGATTCCCATTTTGGCGTGACCGTGCAGACGGCTGCAGCGCCCAGCTCTGCTCTCGAGCAGCGGGTTTATCTCCTGGGGAGGGCTGGGCTCAGCACCGGCAGCTGTACCACTGCTTAGTCTGAGCAAAGTTTTAGAGAAAAGCAAGCAGGTTAGTAGTCTGGTTAGAGAGAGAGAGTGCCAGCAGTCTGGTTAGAGAGCACCCCAACGCAGTGCTCCCCACCCCACATTTAGCAAAGGGGGACAGAGCAGCCAGGATGGAAGCAGAGTGTGTGGAATACAGAGGGAGAAGCGATGGAGAAGGTGGAGAGGGCCAGATCAGAGTTGTGCTCTGCTCCCCCAGGCCTGCGCCTGCCTCCAGCCCCTCTGGAAGAAATACTTGCCAAAGCCCGAGCAGCAGATATGGGATAATCCATCCTTCCCCCAACTGGTACTGGGTGTCAATAGCTGCCAGAGCTGTTTAGGTGTATCAGAGGTGCAGAGCAGCCAGCGAGGGGAGGGCAGCCCCGGCTCCGGCATCGCCTCCTCGGCAGTGCTCTGACCATCCTCGGTGTTCAACTCTTGCTGTCACCGGGATGCTTTGGCATTTCTAGTGCCAAGAACAGGCAGCAAAGCCACGTGTGGCCATGGATCTGTAGTCCGCATGCACAACACCTCCAGGCTCATCACATCTTTCTGCAGAGCAGCCAGCGAGGGGAGGGCAGCCCCGGCTCCGGCATCGCCTCCTCGGCAGTGCTCTGACCATCCTCGGTGTTCAACTCTTGCTGTCACCGGGATGCTTTGGCATTTCTAGTGCCAAGAACAGGCAGCAAAGCCACGTGTGGCCATGGATCTGTAGTCCGCATGCACAACACCTCCAGGCTCATCACATCTTTCCTTTCCTAAATTTACCTTAAATTTAGCAACCCCCTTCCTTCCCCCACCATTGCCACCGAGACGCGATGGCCACGAGATGTCAGCCCAGGCAGAGACGGGAGCAAGGGAGCCTCGGAGCACACACCCACGCGCACCCTGAAACCCACCTGTATATGGAGACGTTCTCGATCAGCTCGTTCGTCCCGCTGTCGTTTAACACGATCCCTCTGGGTGAGACTTTCAGAGTCACTTTCTGCAGTTTCTTTCCGCTTGCTTTTGCCTTTGGAAGGAAGAGAGAGGAAAGTTACAGGCTTTCAACACCGATACAAAGGTACACGAGCAGAGACCCCAGACACGCAGTACCTCACAGCCGGGTAGTGCTCGTTAGCACCAGAGGCTGAATTTACTACCACGTGTGATAAGGTACTCGTTAAAACTTTTCCTTTCCTGAAGCAGTGATTTTTGCTGGCATTATTGAGACACGGACACGCACCCTCCACCCCACACAGAGGTACTTCCAGCCCAGCACCCCCTCTGAGGATCTCCCCGCAGCCACCAACACGACGCAGCACCTGCTCCGGCTGAGCCGTGCGAGCGCTTGGTGAAACCCCAGGGAGTTCTGTCTTTAGGGCCAGCTCCGGAGCCGAGGGGACACCAGCACAAACAAGGGAGAAGGATGGTCCTGCAGGACGTGGGCTCCCAAGCAGCCGACTTCGAGCTGTGCTGCCAAACCCCACTCGAGTGGCAAAGCAACCCACACACCGCCTTAAAAAGTAACCAGACTTCTAAGGGCCACTTTCTCTTATTTACTAGTCTCACACTTTCAGCCTTCAGGTTACATTCAGCTCACTGCTCAGCCTCTCTCCAAAAAAAATCCCAACGCCACACAGCTAGCTAGCTGGGGAGTGCAGACCCGGATCCTCAGCCCTGCTCCCTGGGGACCTCACTTGAGCCACATCCAGACCGGCCAGCGGTCAGTCCTGCCCCTCCGAGTCCGGCCTCAACCCCGGGGCTTTTATTTAAAGACTCCGTTCTCGTTTGATGAGAGCAGCCAGGGCTCTGCCAGCAGCTCCTGTTTCACGCGAGGACTCCGCTCCCATCCAGCTCAGCACATGCCAGGAAAGGATCCGTCATTACCTAGCGCAGTTTGCCACCCCATTGATTTTTATGACAGTTAACTGTACAATTGGGTCTTTGCCTCATTCAGTTTTATAAAGGCTTAAAGAAGCGTTAATTTTACTTGGAGACCGGTGAGCAGGGGCTCCAGGGAGACCTGGTGTGAGAGGATGCCTGAAAATCGGTCCCTCTTGCATCAGAGGTTGCAGCAGGATGGTGGCTGTATTGGCTGGGAATCGGAGCAAGCTGTCCTACTCTCTTCTCCTCTTAACCCTCCCAATCCCAGGAAAAAAACCCTAGAACTGTATGCCAGGTCTTGGTCCTGTGCTGGCCGCACACAAAACACTTTCTCAGCCTCGCAAGAGGAGAGACAGCCTGGGGAGGGCTGATTTCGGCAGGTCAGAGGCTTCTTCCACACCCAGGGTCACCCAGAGCTTATCAAGGGGAGGCAGAACTCGGACTCGTAACACCAGCCTTCTGCAGCCTGCCCCATCCGTGGGCTGGTCCCAAGGGCTTCCCAATGCCACTCTCTGAATTTCTACCTTCACCGCCTGCTCACCCCTGGAAGGGCTGGACAATCCTGTCACCCCCAGCCTGCAGACGGACAGCGCTGCCTCCAGACCTGCGGCTTTCGAAGCTTGTTTAACAGCAGGAGACACGGCTCTGCTCCAGCACGGACACCCACCGTGGCGACGATCCTTTTGACGGCGGCTGCGGAGAGCTCCTCTCCCTTGGGCTGCTCCACCAGCGTCATGCCCATGTACTTGAGGCTGAAGAGCATCCCCTCCAGCAGCGTCTCACGGGTATCGGTCCAGTTCTCCGGGAGCTCTAGAGAGACAACAAAGAGGGTCTTGGATTCCCAAAGGCACAAGGATACCCCTGTCAAGCCCTGAGGGAAGGTTTAGGTATGAGCAGGGTGTTGGTTTAGCAACTGCCTGGACCCCATGCCTGAGCGACTGGGAGATCACGGTGCTGCCATGGCTCTTGTGCAGCACTGCGAGAAGGAGAGGGGGCAGAGACACGAACAACTCCCCAAAAATTTTTCCACAAGCCAAAGCAAATGAGAGTGACCCTTTAAGATCCATCAGCTCCTTGGTTTAAGTGTGAGTGCCTAAGCCTGTGCCATAACCAAGGGGATCCTGAGCATCACCACCCCAGCCAGGCACAGGGGAGGGCTCAGCGCAGCCCCACGCGCGGCAATAACCCTGTGCTAACCACCCCCTCCCCGCAGAGGGTAAGACGGGATTTGCCGCTAGCTAAGCCCACGCACGGCTGCGGGGATCCAGGGGACGCACTGCAACTTGCTGAAGCGGTCACCAACAGCCCCAAGGACCTCGTCGCGCGGGGAAGCTTCACCCGGAGAAGCTCCCTGCTCTCCCCTGAGATCACCAAGGAGGCCACCAGCCTCTGCCCCAACATGGGAAATCTGGTCCTAAACAGCGACATAAGTTTGGGACTAAACTGGAAGTTGGGTGGGTATTTCTAAGCCTAAAATTGCACTGCAGGATCTAACCTCCAGACACGGAGCTGGTGACCCAGGGTCTTGCTTTGAGCAGGAGACAACAAACCACAGCCCCAACGAGGTGCCCCCAGCCCTGGGGAGCGACAGGGCTCTCGGAGAGGAGTCTCTGCTCGCTGCAGTCAAAACATGTCCCTGAAGGCTTCGCTGCCTTGAATTCGGCCTCCAAGCAGCGGGGCCAAACACGGCGGCTCCCTGCAAACCTGCAGCACTGGGAGGGCAGGACTGCAGGGATGTGGGGTGGGGGGGACGCGTCCCTGGGGTAACCCCCGGTGACTCAGCCTCCTGGCAAAGACGAGGCAGGAGATAAGCCATAAACCCCGGGCACCACTCCCAGCTCCCAGTCCTGGGTGTGGGTGCCAGGCGGTGAACCACCCTGGCACCGGCTAAGGTCGAAGCGACAGAAGCCGGGCGGGAGCAGCCCCCGGGGGAGACGAGGGTTTGCAGAGGGTGGGGGCTCCAGACCCAACACAGGTCCCACACCTGGAGAGGCAAAGGAAAACCCCAGGACTGGGGGGATGCTGTGTTTACCTCGCATCCCAGCTAGAATCAGAGGGTGCCAGCGAAAAGCCTGGATATCCCAAAAGCGAGGGCTGCCGCTGCCCCCCCTTGGCAGCTGAAGCCGGGTGAGGACGCTGGGGTGGAGGGTGGTTTGACGCTCCCTGCCTCGCTGATCAGGAACAGCGTGTGCCCCCCGGTTCTGCACCCTGTGCAGGGCAGCTCGGGGGTCACCGAGGATGGGGACCCCCCCTCGAGCACCCCACACTGCCTGGGTGCAGCAAGGCCCCAGCACCCACAGCTTGCAGGGGCCTGGGACGGAAACGGGGTGGTTTCAGCGCAGCCACCCAAGTGCTTTCGGAAAGGAAGGGGCACCCGAGGCAGCACAGACAGGCGCACCCATCCCGTCCCGCGCCGCCCACCCACCCTGGGACCACAGCCTGCACCCTGGGGCTGCAGCAGTGCCCCCCACCCGGCGCAGGGCAGGGGGTGGTCTGCCAGGTCACCGCACTAGGCTCAGGGCGAGCCCGAGGGTGGCTGCGTCTCAAGGGGTCTCTCTGCACATCCTGCCACGCCACGCTGGGGCAGTCCCTGGGGCAGTCCCCGCGTCTGCCGTGTGGCCCCCCAAGCCCCCTTCCAGCCAGCTGCCCCCTTCGTGTCCGGCAGCTGTTGGCCCTTAATCCCAGCGAAAAGGCGTAACGACGCCGGGGTCAATCTCATCAGATTAACCCGATCAAGAGGTCTGATCTCACGGCAAGGGGTGCGGGCACCCGGGCTCTGCGGCCGGTCAGGGGGCACCTTGGCTGGGTCCCCCCCATTCCCTGGCTCCAGCGGGAGGATGGCTGGCAGGGGCCAAGTGGCCACTTGCCATGGGGCCATCGATCGCGTGATGGAACCAGCGGTGGGACAAGGCCAGAAACCACCCGCTGGGCTCCAGCCCTTGTCCCAGGGGAGGGGGGCACCCCCCCATCCTACCCCACTGCTGCAGGAGGGAAGGGGTGCAGGGGAGCAAAGTAAGGGGCAAAAAGGTGGGTAAAAAAGGCGTGAAAAGGGGTGCAGGAGAGGAGTAAAGCAGAAAGGGGTGCAGGGGGGGAATGGAAAAAAAGGGGGGAGAGCGGGCATGGTAAAGCAGGGTGAAAAGGGGGTGCGGGAGGGAGGAAGGGGAAGCTCTAGGAAGGGGAGAAAAGTGAACGCAAGAGCGTGAGAAGCGGGATAAAGCCGGGAAGGAAG